TGCTCTTCCGATCTGGATGGGATGGGATGGGATGGGATCCATGGGATGGGATGGGATCCGATGGGATCCAGGGGATGGGATCCAGGGGATGGGATCCAGGGGATGGGATGGGATCCATGGGGTGGGATGGGATGGGGATGCAGGGTGTGAGATGAGGCACAAGGGAGGTAGAATGCAGGATGCAGGATGCAGATGTGGAATGTGGAATATGGGATGTGGAATGTGGATGCAGGGTGAGGGAGGGAGATGTAGAGGCAGGAGATGGGATGAGATACAGAATCCAGAGGCAGGAAGCAAGAGGCAGGTGCAGTGTGAGGACAATGAAGATATGGATGCAGATGTGGGTGTGGGATGAAGGGGGTGGGATGCAGATGCTGATGCAGATGTGGATGGGGATGCAGGATGCAGATGTGGATGCAGATGTGGATGTGGATGCAGGATGCTCCAGTCCCTGCTGCCCCCACCACCTGTGACCACCTGTGGCCTCAGCCTGCAGTGGGGGCTCCCCAGGTCACCAAGGAGAGGAACCATCTCCACAGAGAGACACAGGTTGCCCCATGCCAGATGTACCCACAGGCTCTTGGTGCCATGCCAAGACCTTCATGGAAAAGTTGTTTCTTCTGTTCTTCTTCCTTTTGTCACATTCCTTCTTTTCCTGGAGCAGGGAGACAGCCCAAAAGTCGAGTCCCCATGAGAGGGTTCTCTCCTGCACGGTGTCTGCAGAGGAACTTCACCTGAAGGCTTCTGCAGAGGAACCTCAGTGAAGCCTGTCAGACACAGGATCCACCTGCCTTGGGGCGGGCCAGGGGGATAAATATCACCTCCTCCCTGGTCCAGGAATCACAGAATCATTAAAGTTGCAAAAGACCTCCAAGATGGAGAGAAACTATTTACAAGACCCTGGAGGGCCAGGAGCCAGGGAATGGCTGCCAGGGGCAGAGGGCAGGGCTGGATCTTGGGATCTTGGGCAGGAATTGTTCCCTGGCAGGGTGGGCAGGGGCTGGGATGGAATTGCCAGAGCAGCTGGGGCTGCCCCTGGATCCCTGGCAGTGCCCAAGGCCAGGCTGGACATTGGGAGCAGCTGGGACAGTGGGAGGTGTCCCTGCCGTGGCAGGGGTGGAAGGAGATGATCCTTAGGGTCACTTGCCACCCAAAGCACTTCATGATTCCATGGTTCTCTGCTGTCTCTACATTTGTGCCTGGGAACCCCAGGTAGACCCATGGCAAACCCATCTCGTGGTGGGTCTCACAGCTCAGCCAGTCTGTCTGGGATGATCCATCAGGCAGGAATCCCTCCTCAAGGTGGGACCTCCCTCCCTTGTCAGCTCCTCTGCAGACCCACAGACCTGGCCCTTAAAGCTGCCAATCTCTGGGAGCTGCATTTGCTTTGCTGGTTAATCTTTAACTCTCCTTTGTGCCCACAAGAATAGCTGTTCTCACTGATAACCCCTGCCTGCTCCCTGCCTGCTCCCTGCGGGCTCTGCTCCCTAATTAACTGATGGAAATTGCTGATATCCCTGGTACAATAGAGGAGGATATCCAGCACTCTGCTACAGAATTCTAGACTTTATTGAGGTATTTATTCATTCTTTTTTTAGCAAAGAAAGCAGGCACAGCCTCATTCTCCATTAGGCCTTTCTGTGGGAGGGAAATCAATAGAGGAAATTATGTCTGGTTCTAATATTTATGTGGTGACATCACTCAGGATATGGGCATTTCTCCAAATGAACCACATTAGGTGTGTGATGCACAAAACCACATCTGACCATAAAAATGGCATACACAGAGTCATGGAATCGTGGAATGGTTTGGATTGGAAGGGACCTTGAAGACCACAGAATCAGAGACTCATAGAATAGAATCCCTGGTGCTGGAAAAGCCCTCGCAGCCCAGGGAGTCCCAGCTGTGCCCGATGCCCACCTTGTCCCCAGCCCAGAGCCCTGAGTGCCACGTCCAGCACCTGCAGGGATGGGCACTGCAAAGCTCCCTGGGCAGCCCCTGCCAAGGCCTGAGCTCCCTTTCCATGGGCAAATTCCTGCTGCTGTCCACCCTGAGCCTCCCCTGGCCCAGCCTGAGGCTCTGATCATCGTGAGAGTTCACAACTCTCAGGTGGAATTTTATTGCCCAAGCCTGTGCAGTTATTCCAGCTGGCACCAGGTGAAGAGTTTGCCCTTCCGTTTTTAACCCAATTTCTGCTTAATTATGCTTAATTGCATAATTTCAGAGCTGTGTGACCCCACCACCCACTCATGCCATCACAACAGACCCCCAGCTCCAGCCCAGCTCGTGCCGTGAGGGGGTCACGTTTGGCTTCCTGCAGCTTTCTGGGGGTCCAGGACTGACCTGATCTTTGCTCTGTACACAACTGGATTCATCATGATGGGACCAGCAGCAGGAGAAGAATTTTTCACAGATTTGTGAATCTTGGAGGGGCTGATCACTGCAATCAGCACAGCACCAGTGTGGGAGGTGCAGGTGCTCAAGGCCCTGCTCCTCAGTGGTGCAGAAGGTGTGGATGGAATACACTGGGTTAAAGCAGGGGGATCCAGCCCATCCAGCATCTGCAGCCCCTCTCTGCTGGACTGGGAGAGCCACCCCAGTGCCAGGACACGGGCTCAGCAGTGTGGAACTGCTGCAAAATCAGTCCTGCACAGCCTGGGAGCTCCCCCAGACACCACCCCACCTTCCTGCAAGGGCTCCTGGTGACCTTGGGGTCACCACTGCCCACCCAGGCCCTTTTCCAGCTCTCCTTTCTGGCCAGTCCTCATCTGGAATAAAAGCACCAATTACAATGAAATTTAACCCAAAATCTGTGGGACAGGTCTGCTCAGGCCCAAAGCAACAGCACAGTCTGTCCCCAGGCACTGGTTTATTCCTGTTAATTATGGTTAATGATAACAACGAGCTGCTGTGACTCAGCTGAGTGTTTGAATTCTGTGGGATTGACTTTCTAAGCACCCTCATATCTCAGTTCAGGAGCTGTTTCCATTGCAGGAAGATGATCAGTGCCCAGCTGTCCCAGTCTGCAGTGCCACCCTCTCAGCCCCCTCAAACAGCCCTGGAGCCACTTCCAGCTCCTGCAGGGAACTGCAATCAGCAAAATCCTCAGGAAATCCTCAGCCCTCCCCGTGGCAGGTGGGATTCCCTCTGACACAGAGACTGAAGTGATGTTTTGTTTGTTTCTTTTCTGGGATTCCATTTTCTTCCAGTGGGAGGTGTCCCCCATGGCAGGGGTGGGACTGGATGGGCTTTAAGGTCCCTCCCAACCCAAACCCTTCCACCTTTCCATCATTCTGTCCCCAGCCAGGCTGAGAGCTGTGACACAGGTCCTGCTCACTGAGCCCAGAGAATGGCCACTGCTGGCCACTGGGTCTGCAAGGCCTCAGGGAACCGAGCTGTGCCAGCTTTGCTGGTTGTGAACTCGCCCTGCAGGTTTTACCAGCTTTGGCAGAGAAGGGAACTTTCCTCCAATGGCCACAGCTCTCGTACTCCTTGTCGCACGTGCCTTCGACTGGGTGCAGAGAACAGCAAAATTCTGTGCTGAGGGACAGAGATTCAAGACTTCAGCACACTGAGGGAGTGCAGAGAAATCCTTAGCAGCCCGTCAGGGCCTCCAGGAGAGGGGACCAGGCGTGGTGCAGAGGGGCACAAGGCAGTGAGAGGTGGGCACAGGCTGGCACTGCAGACCTCATGGCTACAAACAACTCTGGAATGCTCAGTTAAGGAAATAGAAGCTCAGTGAGGGACAAAAAAGGTTTGGAGGTGACAAAGAGAGCAAAGAATGAGCGTCTGGTGTGGAAAAACACAGCATGTTTAAGTAAGGGGGGTGTACAGGGATACAGGCAGGACATCAGGGAGAGATTCCCTGTGCTCTGCACCATCCCACACACGAGTTCCTCCTGCAAGGACAAGGTTTAGACATTCAGCTGGAAAGGTTTTGGGAGAGATGGGGGGATCTGCACACCCTGAACACTCTGTCTGTGCGGCAGAGGTCACAGGAAATGTAATACAGGGCTGGAGCACAGGTAAATGGATCAGCTCCATCCCTGGAAGTGTTCCAGGCCAGGCTGGACAGGGCTGGGAGCAGCCTGGGATAGTGGAAGCTGTCCATGCCCATGATGGGGGTTGGACTTGGATGAGCTTCAATGTCCCTCCCAACCAAACACTCCACTGATTCTATGATTTCTGCTCTTCAGCAGATTTTGTCTGGGTAAGCATCAAGTCAGCCAAGTCTCTGATGATGCTGAACCGCTCCAGGACCAGCTGTGAAAATCTGCAGAGGACCCTGGTGCAGGAGCCTGGGCAGGAAGGAGGAAAGGCATGGCTGTGCCTCAGATTCCTGATACCCACTGGAGCAAGAAAGTTAAACAAGGATCAGACCAGGATGTGTCTGGGAAGAGGCAGTGCCCTTCTGGGCAGCACTGTTTTGGGGCAGCACCGTTTTGGGGCCAACTTCCCTGTTCTGGTCTGTGGTGACCGAACAACACGGAGGACAGCCCCAGGGCAGGAGTGGGGTCATGCAGTGGGCATGAACTGCTGACTGAGGGTACATCCAGTAGAGAGGGATCTGCAAAAGACCCCAAAGCCCCTTGACCCATTTCCCAAAAGGCCCAGAAGAGCAGAGTGCACGTGCTCATGTGTACATGAAGAGCAGGGAACCCGAGGCCAGGGTGAGGAAACACAAAGTGCCCCCAAAGCCCAGGCAGTGCCCCAGGACCGCCCTGTTTGGGTCAGGGCTGGAGCATTGACCCAAATGCAGGACTGGTGTTCTCCTTTCCCAGCCAATCTCTCCTTCACACTCTTCTGCCTCCCTCTTTTATTTCACTCTTTTATTTCTCCCACCATTACTATGTAGGGGAAAACATGCATCCATTTCCATGCCAGGTGTGGAGCTGGCCAATAAAACTTGGTGAGCTCTGGTTTTTGGACCCCTCTGGCTTCTGCCATTCTTTTGTCACCATGAGCACCTCTGACTTTTGGGTGCTCCTTCTACACAAGAGTGGGACGTGACACGTGGTACGACTGAGTCACTGAACAATAAAACAACAGATTTCAAAGAAAAAGCAGCTGAGATGAACACACAGTGATGCGCTGGGGAGAACACGTCAGATGGAAGATGACAGGCTGGTGGCTGACAATTATCTCTCAGGAACAAGCTGTCACTGCTCTGACAATGTTACAACACAGTTCAGTGATCAGCAGTTCCAAAAACAAACCAGATATTAGAAATTCCCTGGCAAGGAGCAGGAAACGTGGCCAGGACAGTGCAGGGCATCCAAAACCGCCACAGCCCTGTGCCTCGAGGGGCAAAACTCTTCTTGTGGAGGCAGCAGAGGTGGCAAAGGGTCGGGAGTGGGTGGGGGAAGATCTGCTCAGTGACATCTCCAGTATGAGGGGTTAGAAGCACAAGATTGTTTTTCTGCCTGGCAGGAGGGGACAGCCGGGGGGGTCGGGCTCTGCTGCCAGGGAACAGGGACAGGAGGAGAGCTCAGGCCTCAGGCTGGGCCAGGGGAGGCTCAGGGTGGACAGCAGCAGGAATTTGCCCATGGAAAGGGAGCTCAGGCCTTGGCAGGGGCTGCCCAGGGAGCTTTGCAGTGCCCATCCCTGCAGGTGCCCAAGGAAGGGCTGGACGTGGCACTCAGGGCTCTGGGCTGGGGACAGGGTGGGGAGGTCTCAGGGACTCTGTGATCACCAGAGCAGGGTCTCCCAGAGCCTGAAGTGCACACACATGAAATTTAGAAAGATTTGCTCCTCAGGCAAGTGATTCATCACAGAAGCAGGAGTGATGTGGGTGAAGAAAAGAGCAAATTCCCCAAAGCTGCTCCAGGAGGAAGACTCTGCCCCATGCTGAGGCCAAGGGCTCTCCACAGCCTCTGGTGCAGCTTTCAGCACCAATGGATGTGCTCAGGTGTTAGGAGGGGTGCACCTGCAGTTCTGCTTTGTGCTGGGAGCTGTTACTCTTCCTCCTGAGGCAGCAGCCTGTGTGTCATTTGCTGCCTTTTGCATTTATTCCAATATTCATTCCATACCCAGAGCCCTGGCTCGGTCTCTTTTGGGCTCTTCTGCCTCGTGCCATGGTCCAGCTCCCCTCTGCCTGGTGCAGGGCGAGGGGAGGAAACAAGTGAAGGGCCAGGGCTGACAAGGACCTGCCTGGGCAAAGAAAGCCTGGATTGTTTCCCAGGCAGGAGGTGCTGCTTGTGAAAGAGGCTGGGTGAGGCAGGTGTCACCAAACCCTGTGCTAACCAACACTGGCACGAGTCAAAGCTCCTGAAAGAGAGGGGGAAGTTCCTCCCCAGTGCCAGCACCTGTGCCAGAAGCTTCCCTGTGAAAGCTGCCCCAGGAAGCTGCAGGGCTGAGTGTTTGTGAGGTGGTGGAGAGACTTCAGAGCCTTTTCAAGCTGCAAAGGTTGACTGTGATTTGGGAGTATAAAAATGTCGCTTTAATGCAAGTTAGCTATTTCCTACTTCTCAGGTTTCTGTGCCTGTCTCCTCAGGCCTGTAGCTGCTTTTTCTGGGGTGGTTTGTGCTATTTTAATGCTGTAAATGCTTTGTCTAGCTTCTGTGTTCTGCAAAATTCTTCTTAAAATGTGTCTGGTTGAGACCCTTACGCTGTGTTAACAAGGAATGGGCAGGAATTTTCTTGGTTAAGTCTTGTTGTTGGTTGGTTGGTTTGGGGCTGTTTTTTTGTTTTTTTTTATTTAAGAGAATGACTAAGAAATTGGTCCCAACCTCCAGGCAGGCAGAGGGGGCCAAGGCACGATGGTGTGAAATGTCTTTTGTTGCTCAAATCAGACCAGGCTGGAGGGCTGGAGTGCCCTGGGAGAGGGGCAGAATGAGATGGGCTTTAACATTCCTTTCCACCCCAAACCCTTGTGTGATTCTCTGATGATTCAGGTCTCTGCTGGAGACCTCAGGAGAGGGTTTCCAAGTCTCAGGCACAGATACAGAAAATGTTTTCCTGTCTTAGCACACTCCTGAAGTCAACACGGGCCTCCTGCAGCTCCTGGCCCACCCAAGGTGCTGCTGTTGGTGCCTTCCCTGCCCCTCTGGACCCTCGTGAGAGATCCCCGTACTCCCCACGCCTTGGCACAGAGGGCTCGGGGCTGGGAGCTTCTGTCTGGAGCAGTGGGGTGGCAAAAGGACCTCACCTGAGTGGGTCTCACAGGGCATCCCCCCTTCCTCGGGGCTGATGAATCGCTGGGCAGTCCGAGCTCTCCCAGGGCTGTTTGTGCCCCTGTCCTGATGATAACGTGTGGCTGACCTTGCAGCCGGGCTCGGGGGGGCTGCACGGGTGTCCTTGGTGCCATGAGCTGCTGCCAGGTCCTCAGGAGTGCCCGGCCTCCACAGCACCTCCCTCGCTGCTGCCTGTGCCAAACCCTCCCCTGTGCTGTCCCCTCTATATCTGTGTCCCCTGTCCTGTGCTGTCCCCTCTATATCTGTGTCCCCTGTCCTGTGCTGTCCCCTCTGCACAGCTCTGTCCCCTGTCCTGTGCTGTCCCCTCTATATCTGTGTCACCTCTCCTGTGCTGTCCCCTCTCTGCACACCTGTGTCACCCCTCCTGTGCTGTCCCCTGTCTGTACAGCCCCGTTCCTGGGATGGCAGTGGGGCAGGCAGTGGGGCAGGCAGTGGGGCAGGCAGTGAGGCTGGCACTGCTGGCACTGCTGGCACTGCTGGCACTGCTGGCACTGCTGGCACTGCTGGCACTGCCGGCTGCCGATGCCGTGGCACCAGTGAAGGACCCGCTGCTGAACGTCTGCATGGATGCCAAACACCACAAACGCGAGCCCGGCCCCGAGGGGAAGCTGTTTGACCAGGTAGGAGCTGCTGGTGGCCCTGGGTGTCCCAGGGTGGGACAGCCCTGTGCCCCCTCCCCGCACACTCGGGGCTGCTCTGGGCTCGGCCACCGCTTGCCGGAGGGATAAAGCCACGCTGGCTGCGAGATCTGTTTGTTTGCTGCCTTCCTTCAGCAAGTGGCCAGTGAGTGACAGTGGGGATTTGTCAGCTCAGTGTCACCCCTCTCTAACCCCCTCCTGGAGCTCGGGACCCCCAGAGCACAGCAAGGGAAAGGATGTGAGGAGAGACCCTCACCTGCTCCCTCTCAGGGTGGGAGAGCCTTCTCGCTCTGCCCCAGCCCTCGGTGGAGGAAGGGGGGTTTTATTTCTGTTCCTTGGGCTGGCACTGACTCCTGCTGAGGATCTGATCTGCTCCTCCTCCAGCCCTGCCTTGCTGCAGTGCCCAGCTCCTAAGCCCAAAGTGACCGAGAGTTTGCTGGGGAAGGTAGAACACTCTGGGTGCCGTGGGCTCTCCCTCCTGGGGCTGCTCCTGCCCAGCTGCAGCAGCCTGTCCCCTGTTGCAGTGCTCCCCCTGGAAGGACAACGCCTGCTGCACAGCCAACACCAGCTCGGAGGCCCACAAGGACCAGTCCTACCTCTACAACTTCAACTGGAACCACTGCGGGGTGATGCCACCCAAATGCAAGCGCCACTTCATCCAGGACACGTGCTTGTACGAGTGCTCACCCAACCTGGGGCCCTGGATCGAGAAGGTAGCATCAGATCCAGGAGTCATGGAACTGTTTGGCTTGGAAGGGAAATTAAAACTCGTCCTGATCCCAGCCCTGCCATGGCAGGGACACCTCCCACTGTCCCAGGAGCTCCCAATGTCCAGCCTGGCCTTGGGCACTGCCAGGGATCCAGGGGCAGCCCCAGCTGTGCCAGGGCCTGCCCACCCTGCCGGGGAACAACTTCCCATCAATATCCAGGGTGTCTCAACTTTTCCCACAGGGTAGAGAGATTCCAAGGATTTTTCTGGCCTCTGACTAATGGAAGAACTCCTTGTGTCAAGACACGTCTCCGCTGAGGCTGGAACTCCTCTGGGATCAGCTGTGCACCCCCATGGGAGGGGCTGGGGGGATCTGGGATGTGCCAAATCTCGCCCTTGACTCACAAGGCTCCCCAGCATGACGTGTGCCACTGTTCCTGTGTCCTGCAGGCCGACAGCAGCTGGCGTCGGGAGAGGATTCTCCACGTGCCGCTCTGCAGGGAGGACTGCGAGGAGTGGTGGGAGGACTGCAGGGACGCCGTCACCTGCAAAGAGAACTGGCACAAGGGCTGGAACTGGGCAACAGGTCGGTGTGCTCTGGGCACCTCTCCTCTCCCCGCAGGCAGGTTTCCAGCACTGTCACCGCTGCCAGCACCCCAGGGGTCTGTCACTCCTCTGGGTGGCCAAGCCCCCAGCGCCCAGCTCAGACGTGGCCATGGGCCGTGGGCAGGTGACCTGTTCCCCCCAGGGGAAGGACAGGAGGGAAGGGCTGTCCCAGTGCCCTGACTGAGCTTTGCTCCCCGCTGCTCTGTGCCCAGGAACGAACCGCTGCCCCTGGGGCTCCATGTGCAGACCCTTCAGCGAGGTCTTCCCCCAACCCAAAGACCTGTGCGAGAAGATCTGGTCCAACTCCTTCAAGTACAGCGGCGAGCGCCGGGGCAGCGGCCGCTGCATCCAGATGTGGTTCGACCCTGCCCAGGGGAACCCCAACGTGGCCGTGGCCGAACACTTCGCTTGGAGAAAGAGATGCTCCCCTGGCCGGGGGGGGAGCGTGGCTCTGGACGGCGCCGGGCGTGCTGTGCCGAGGTCTGTGCTGCTCCTGCCGCCCCTGGCCCTCCTGCTGCTCCCCGAGGGAGCGGGGGGCTGCGGGGTGCCCAGATGGGGGTCCCTGTGACCCCTCTGTGGAGGGACATGGCCCGGACTGCTCCAGCTGCCCTGCAAGAGGAGCTGGCACAAGTTACTCTGTCTGTGTGTCCCAGCGCTCAGCATTAGTTGTGTTGCTGGACCTTGACACCACCTTTGGGCCGCTGAGCAGAGCAGGGATTTTCTTGCCTCTGAGGGAAGAGCAGTGCAGTCTCTGCTCTGATGTGGGGCTCCTGCACATCTGTTCCCACCCCACGGCCGTGTGCTGGCCTGGCAGAGCTCTGCTGGCTGCTCCTTTGGGCAGCTGTGAGACGCGGGCTTTAGAGGGTTTAGAATTTAATTGATTAAGGATATAGTTAACCTGAAAATGTTTATAGCTTTTTAGAATATGTTAAGCACAACAGAAATCACACACTGTCTGTAACCTCTTATCATCCCTTGCTGTGGTCACGAGAATGAGCAGGAATGTAAGCTCCTGGTCCTCTCTGGATAAGGAGAGGAACAACAGAAACACAGAGGGCTGGGAAAGCAGAATGCCGAGACAAGGGGAGCCCTCAGACCCTGAGCTGCACAGAGCTGCTCCTGCAGTTTGAGCAGGGACCAGAGGGCCACAGCACAGGCCCGAGGCACAAAGGTGAAGGGTTCAATGTGATGAGGAGTTTCCAGCCCTCAGCTCTGAAATCCACCCTGTGAGCACCAGAGCTGTGCGTGCCCAGAGGGAGCTGGTGACTTACCCAGAGGGGATGGGAGGGGACAGGAAATAAAAATGCATGAAACTAATTGTGCAATCCTACACAAATGTAATATTCTAAGGAATAAATAGGGAATGTAAACCTGGTGATTTTCACACAGGTTTTAGGAGAAGCAATCTGCTGGGAGCTGCCAGTAAAGCATACCTAAAACCTTTGCACTTGTGGAGTCTTTCCATGAGTCACTCGGGACTCCCTGAAGGGTGGCTTGGATAATAAAGTCTTGCTCTGCATCAGCCTTGTTGGACTGATGTGAAATACTCCTGAGGAGGGGGAAGGGTCCTGGGGGTGGTGGTGGCTATGGGATCTCTAAATGTGGGAATTGGCCTGGGGGAGCAAAGATCATAAAACTACAAATGGTTTGGATTGGAGGAGATGTCAAACCTCATCTCTTTCCACTCCCCCATCCATGGCAGGGACACCTCCCACTGTCCCAGCTGCTCCCAATGCCCAGCCTGGCCTTGGGCACTGCCAGGGATCCAGGGGCAGCCCCAGCTGCTCTGGCAATTCCATCCCAGCCCCTGCCCACCCTGCCAGGGAACAATTCCTGCCCAAGATCCCAAGATCCAGCCCTGCCCTCTGCCCCTGGCAGCCATTCCCTGGCTCCTGGCCCTGCAGCCCTTGGCCCCAGTCCCTCTCCAGCTCTCCTGGAGCCCCTGGAAGGGGCAGAGGAGCAGAACTGCCCTTGATGGGGCAGGGGCTGCAGGCAGGACCCTCCCTGCCCTTGGCTGCAGCCCAGCTGGGCTGGGTCAGCCCTGCCCACACCTGCTTTGGGCTCAAGAGCCCTTCAAAGCAGGGGAAAGGTTCCCAGACCTGCAGAACCTGTGCAAAGACTTGCTGCTGTGCTTCCTTGGGGTTTTGCTTCCTCTGAGGCAGAAACTTCAGCAGAACTCCACCAACTTCTTGAAGGGAAACGCAGGGGGTGGGGAGAGCTGGATGCCCTGGCTGGAGCTGGGGAGAGAGGTGATTCTGCTGCTTTTATGGCTGGATAAAGCAGAAAGCAGCCTCAGTCTCAAAGCTCAATGTCCTGAGTGAGGTGAAGGTGTGGCAGAGCAGGTGAAGTACCTGAGAAAGGAACCCCCAGCTGCTGCCACTTCCCTAAACTGCTGAGCTGGCACAGCCCAGACACTCCGGACTCCCAGCCCAGGAGCTTTATCCTACCAAAGCCCAGTCTCAGCTTTTTAATCTGGGCATCTTCTAACGCCCCTTTGCCTCAGTGCCTTCTAGGGATGCCCCTCAAGGTCACTTCTCAAGGCTGGGCCACAGCCCAGGGCCCTTGGTCGGGGTGAGTGGCATCAATCTCTGCTCAGTTATGAGGTTTGCTGGCTTTAATAGAATTGCTTCGTTTTTATTTCAAGCAGTGCATTATCCTGGCAGTTGTAGCTGCCTGTGCTGTGCAGTAAATAATGCTGATTAAGATCTCTTCGTCTAATCATTATCATAATGAATCATTTATTTATAAAGATATATTTGGGTTCCCATCTTTAATCCTGGAGGACTCAGTGACGTGAAGGCTCAGTCAGAGCTGTGCAATGCTCTAGACACCAAACATTGCCCAGGGCTGGGGCTGCCTCAGCCAGACCCCTCTCTGGGAAGGAGCTCGGGAGCCCATGGAGTGCAGCTGGGGTGGGGTGCTGGTTTCAGGGGTCTGGGGCAGTGTTTGGGGGTCCTTTCTGCTCCTCATGACTCCAAGGGAGGATCTCATGATGAACTTTGTCTCCTCCTCTGCCCATGGGGCAAGGCCAGGGCTGCCTGGGCCAAGCCAACCCCAGGCTGCAGAGCTTTGTAGTACTTCAAATATTTTCTGGAGTTTTTAGACCAGAGCAGCTGTTTCCAGAAGCTTTTCTGGCTTGTTTTTATTTTTAAATGTTCCTAATGATGTAGTATCTGTCACAGCTGATCACTAATTCCTTGTCCTTACACGAAACAGAGAAGCACTTTCCCTCTCTAACTCAAATATGATGTGTTTAATCCAATTGCTCTAAATATAGTATCTTGTCTCCAAAATGTGAAGGTAGAGCCCACAACTGACCAGGGCTTAGAAATGTTTCTAGCCCACCCAGGCAGGAGCACTGGGAGCTGATTCCTGCGACAGAAATCTCCGTACAGGACAAAACCCAAATAACTCAGAAGGCAAAGCTGCTCGAGGGGAGGGAGAATCTGCTTAGGGCAACTCCTGCTGCCGTGGGCTTGGGCTCTGCTCAGCTCTGCCAGTGTCTCAAAGAGGTCCAGGCTGTTGTCTCTTAGACAAGAGACCTGCTGGGACCCTGCAGAGGAGGGCTGTGACCTCCTCCTGTCCCAAATCCACGCGGGCTGGAAGGAGATCTGACCTCGTGGCTCCCAACCACACCCAGCTTTATCCTCTGGAGATGCTCTGGGGTAGCTCCAAGGGGAGCTGCAGCCCTCTGGGGCACTCCCAGCTGCACTCACTCCCTGCACATTCCCAGGGCTCGAGTGTTGTCAGCGATTTCTCCCAGCCCTGAGTGGTTTCCAGCCCAGAAACACTGGGTTTGTGCCGGGTAAATGCGGCCAGGAGAGGAAGGTGGTGCCCAGAGCAGGGGTCAGACAGGAGCTGGGGGCTGCTCTGGGACAGGTGACATGGGGAGGGGACACTGCAGCACAGAGGGGAGGGGGTCCTGGGCAGGGAGAGCCAGGGCAGAGGCTGGGCTGGAGCACGGGGGGATGGAGAGCTGGGGATGCACTGCAGCCAGAGAGGCACAACTCCAGATGAGAGAAACTGGTCTCAGCCCTGTCCCAAAATACTTTCTACACCCTGGGATATCTGACTTTTGTCCTTCTCATGGATTTCCCCCACAGCCCTAGGGGCACATGCAGGAGTACTACATTCCCCCTGGTGTCCATGGTGATTGTTTCAAGGAGAGAAGAAATGCCACTGAGCAGGACCTTCTCTGCTGAAGATCTTCATTCTGTGGGGTGTTTTATTTGCTTTTGTTTGTCTGGGTTTTGTATCTGAAAGCACTGGACCTCAGCAAGGTGGGCTTGGGAGTACTGAGGCAGAGATATTTCCTTCTCCCCTGGATCCCTGGCAGTGCCCAAGGCCAGGCTGGACATTGGGAGCTCCTGGGACAGTGGGAGGTGTCCCTGCCATGGCAGGGCTGGCACTGGGTGGGCTCTGAGGTCTCTCCCAACCCAAACCCTTCCAGAATTCTCACATTGCACAAGGACAATGCCCAGGAGGTCACATTTCAGGAGCCCTTGAGGTTCATTAGGGATGGAACCAAAAAAGCGATTTTTTCCCCCAGACCTCACCAATGACTAGAGCAAGAAGGGCACTCGAAGGCACCAGGCACAAATTCCCACCTTTGTGGTGATCCCTGGCATGAGAAAAAACCAGAAGTGATGATTTACAGAAGGAAATGGCACAAGCATGAAAGCAAAAGAGAGGGATGGGAAGGGGAGAAGTGATTTGCATTCAGCCAGGGGCAGATTGAAGTACGAGCTGCTCTGTTATTCCAGAATATGGAATATTTGTGGGGAAGCACTTGGAGTGATGGATGGTGTGACCAGGCATGCTAGTTACTCAGTTGGTTGTTATAAATTACTTTTCCTGAAGCAGTCTAACCTCAGCAGCAAAATAAGAAATCAGGGAGAATAGGGAAAAAGAGCTGAAAGCTAATAAAGCAGATGGTTTAAAATTAGCAGGGCAGGGTAAGGGCAGGGTGACAATTCCCTGGGAGCACTTACAGAGGGGCAGAGATCTCAGAGAGAAATGGGAATGAAAAGCAGCAAGTGGAGCGAGGCCACCCCAGAGCTGTGGGAAAGGGCAAAGAACCACTGGGATTAACATTCAGTTCCTGCAGAATTGTGGAACAGGGGAGCCCAACCCTTGTGGAGCACACATGGCAGCAGGCACCCTGGAGTCCTTAGGAACAAACTGTGCTGTAATCTCTCCTGCAGCTGGGGCAGGCAGGGATGAGGGGGCCCTGCTGCAGTCACACCGGGACAGGGCTCACACAGCACCACAGCCAGCAGGAGAGCAGAGATCCACCCAAATGGAGCTGCACAAACGCCAGCACAAAACTCCCGGGAAAAATGGAGGTTTCGATTCTCCATTGCTGAAGATGAAGGAACTGATTTCTGCAGGTGTTCTCATGAATGAGCTCGTCAGGAAAAGCCATTTTGGGTGTGGATGTGGCTGTTGTCAGGTTGTGATGGGAGCACAGATCCCATCTGCCCTTTAATCCGTGTATTCCCTGTGAATGCAGACCCGGTGTTTATTGTAGTGCCTGACTGCTCTGGGGCAACTCCAGCGTCCCTCTGCTGCTTCCACAGCACCAAACACAAGTGGAGGCCCTTCCATGAGGGAACACAAACACCCAGCAGCAACAAAATAATTTAAATTCCACAGGATATGAAGCCCAGGGGCTGCTTTCAGGCAAGAGGCTTTTCTGGAGGTGCCATCCAGGAATGTTGGAGCAGGTTTACTGAGCACCCCTCTGGGCTGGCTTGGGTGAGCTGTTGTCTTTTGGGAGGGCAGATGGATTCCACAATCTCTCGAGGTTCCTTGTACCCCTACTTTTCATATTTCCATCAGAAATTTCATGCTGGATGTTTATTTTCCACCACTGCCTTGCACACCTCATTGGCTGGTTGTGCATTTTGAGGTTCCTTTTGTACACCCAGGACAGTTCCTCCTCCTGCTGAGGGTTTGATCTCCACTAGCAGTGAGAGGGGGTCTTGAGTCACAGAATCCAGCAGGTCAGGGTTGGAAGAGAGCTTAAAGATCACCTTGTTCCACCCCCTGCCATGGGCAGGGACTCCTGCCAGAAGGTTCCACCAACTCCTGGGCGTTATTTCAGAGATAATAAATGGTTGGGTCGTGGTGAGGAGCCACCAACCCTTCCTGTATTTTCATCAGCAGATCGCGTGGGCCCGTCGGGTTTCTCAGCTTTAAAAAAATAAATACCTAAAGCTGAGGGGGAGGTGTGTTTGTTTTTCTGGAGCATCCTGGATTTAAGCCAGACTTTGCACTCTGATTCTCATCCAGACTTAGACTGAGAACCAGACTTTGAGCAAAGATGTCACTGTAGAAATGCTGATGTTATTAGAGAGAGTCCATGAGGAGGGGCTGGAGGAGAGCTGGGAAGGGTGTGGAGCCCCAGGAGGGGCTGAGGGAGCTGGGAAAGGGGCTGAGCCTGGAGCAAAGGAGGCTCAGGGGGCCCTTGTGGCTCTGCACAAGTTCCTGGCAGGAGGGGACAGCCGGGGGGGTCGGGCT